ATTAATCAAATAGGAAATGTTAAAAAACTCAAATCAAAAATTATTTTTAATGCAATATGTTTAGAAAAAATTTTAAATTTATTATTTCATTTTCTTATTTAAAAATATATTTTCAAATTTTTAAAAAAGTATATTCAATTATTATTAATTTTTTAAAAAATATACATAAATTAATAATTGAACATTAAATTAAAAACTCCATGTACAGCTAATTTTATTGAAACATGTATACATGAACATATACATATGTAAGTGTGTTTACATTTGCATTTATAAATTTCAATTTTTCAAGCTCAGATCTGAAATTAACAAAGCATAAAAAGGCGAATGAACTTGTCAAGGAAAATTTGAATTTTTATTAAAAGAAACTTTCCCAATATGCTGCCTGAAATGTAACTAAAGCGTAAATATACAAATACTTACATAAGTGTGTATGTGTGTGCATAATAACAAAAAGTCACAAAAACAAAAAGAAGATACATTTTAGACAGCACAAAATGTTACAAGCAAACAGACAATTAACAATTGTACAAACCCTTCAAAAGCTGACAGATATGCAAAGATACATACACACAAATTTTCATACATAGTATTATTTATATAGTGGTAAGTGTACGCTTATGCTTATGACAATTTGTATGTGTCTGCCGATTAAAGAAATTCAAATTTGGTGAATGAGTAGAAATTTTTTCGACAGCAATAAATGCAACTACGTTAATAAAAATGCGTTTGGAGCAAAGGTGGTAAAAGCAAACACAGAAAAAAGCTGATGAAATAGAAACATAAAAGAGAAAAATCAAAAATAATATCTAATAAGTAGCGAGACAGTGAAAGAAAGCGTTGTAGAGGAAATATTAAAGAGAAGCATTATTGTTTGTAGTGTAAAAAATTTTAAATACATTGAACTAAAACTGATAAAAAGTAATAAAAGTTTAACCAAAAATTAAAAAAAATTAAGTTTAATTACACTGAAGCTATAATATGCTTCACAAACAAAATAGTTTACAAACAATACCCTTCACAGTTGCATTTTTTACATTATAAAAGGGTATAGAAATGTTTTAATTCTGATTTGTTTGTATGACAGCTATATGCTATAGTGATCCGATGTCGGTAGTTCCGACAAACCAGCAGCTTCTTGATGAGAAAACGACTTGTGCAAAATTTCAGATCGATATCTCTAAAACTGTAGGATTAGTTCATGTATATACAAACAGACGGACATGGTTAAATCGACTCAGCTCGTCATGCTGATCATTTATATATATATTTTTATAGGGTCTCCGACTTTTCATTTAAAATTATTAAAACTACAAAAATAAACAAAAAAGTATTTCTTTCATTCACCGCTTTAAAAAATTATCGAGCTTCGTATCTCTGATTCCCATCAGCTTTACAACAAATTGGGAAGAAATCTATCGAACAGTTAAAATTGTATGTAGGTGCGACTTAACTGTGTGCGGTATTTTTTTGTTTTTGTCAAAAATATTTAATTGAGAAAAAACTAGCCAAATAGAAATGTTAATTCAACGTTGACATACTTTACTGCAGCAAAGGCATACACAAAAACAATAACAACAGCCACCAAAATATTGAAAAGAAATGGAATAGCAAGAACGAATAAACGCCACAATGCGTGCATAGAAGTTGGGTGATACACAGGCGCACATAAGCAGACACATACACTATTTTATATGCATGGCGATATGTATTCATAAATGAGCACACATATTATTAGTGCATAAATCAAAATCTTACTTTTCATAATTTCTTTAGATTAGACGAGCAGACTGCGTCTTAACTTAGTTGCATCAATATACACACATATATATATACATGCATATGTATGGTATGTATATACTTATAAATCATAAATTTGAAAGCTGTTATTTTTGTTACGTCAAATTTCATGAGTCATAGGCCCTATCTAATATATTAATAGATTTATTCAAGCAAAAATATTAAAATTTAATCTCTACTCGAGTGAAAATAAATTTTCTTACGAAGTAGTATGTAAAACTAAAAAACAGGCTAAAAACGTTAACTAGTTATAAACTAATCCAAAAACAGCTAGTTCGAAAGTCATCAGTTTTTGGGTGAGGACGCCATAAAAATGTGAAATAAAAATTAGAAAATCTATTTGTGTTGATTCAAATGCAACTAGTACATAACTAGTGCCCAACCGCAAAAATATATACTAGCAGTACAGAAAGTGTTAACATATAAACTGTTTGCACTTAGCTTAGGCACACTTCACACAATTGAATAGCTTCAAAGCAAAAGTAAGCTATGCTCTAGCCGGCAGAGCTTTTCTAATATAATTATGAACTTATGCATATGCATATTATAAATATACATATATAAATATTATATGTAAGTATGTATGTATATACATATAGATTGTCTTGAATGAACACAATTCCCGGCGCTCGCCAATTTACTGCATACACATTCATACGCCGCGGCGCTATCTAATTTACTCAATACAAATATCTTGCGCTCTCTTGCATTGACACACACTCAATCATGTATACACAAAAACAAACCAACAGCCATGTTAAAGCGCTGCTGCGTTAATTTAGACGAATATGCGTATGCGCTCGTACTTGGCGCGCTGTCCGCTGTGTGTTCCAAAAAAAATGTACAAAACTGCAGCGCTTTTATTGTACAACAACAAAAAAGCCAAAAAATATTTTCTATTATTTATTTTAGCCCCTCATTATAGGCCTGCCACAGCGCGTCGCTCAGTGCGTTCACATGCACGCTCAGGCATAAGGCTTGTATAGCCAACAGTCGCCGCGTTTTGCGCGTGTGCGTATAGCTATGTCTTTATATATGTATGTGTATATGCATATACACATAATTTGTTGTTTTTATTGTTTAGAATAATCTTGCGCTTGATAATGAAAATAGGTCAAATTTTAAAAATACTTCAGTGCGCAACAACAACGCGCGCAACGACGCAGCGTCAGAATAAATAGAATACTTGTGTATATAAATATGTATATGTGTAAAGTATATTTATTGCGTTAATAGACAGTCTAGCGAGCGAAGACGCGTATAGACATATTTTTAAGTATGTAAAAAAGTATATATATGCGTAAGTATATACACAATTATATATATATAAATATATAAATATTATAGCTATAAATATATATATATATATATATATATATATATACGCATGCATATATACCAAAAAGTTGGACTTCGAGAACTATATCGCCGTAGTTCAATAAGTTTAACGTGAAAATAAATACAAGAGATGGTATATTACCCTTTTATATATTATACATATATATAAAATATACGTGTATCAACATATATGCTTAGGTAACGATAGATATTTATTTATTTGTGTACACGTTTGTAATTCAGCAATTGTGCTGAGTATAATGTAGAAATGCATCACTCATGGCTGTGGTATTGGAAAAATATTTCGAGTAAGCTGAAATTTCGGTTCTGTATATGTATGCGGGCGCTCCCTAAAATTATGCAACTGATCACATTCAGCTAATGTGTAAAAAAATACATAACTCCGTATAAATTTTTAACTATTTTTAGAAATTTTTGAAGAACAACAGAAGTATAAATAAAGGGTTACTTCTAGGCTTTCATAGACAAATCATGAGCAAAAAAGTAAAACCATTATAACAAAAGTCTACGATTAACGTAAACTTAAGCTCAAAGCCAATAGTACCGGGAGCTTTCAAATCTTCAAAGTTCCATAAAAGCTTTCAGTTTTAAAAAAAAACTGAGTAACAAAGCGCTTCGAGCTTTCACCCTATTTTGAAAGCTTAAAAGATTCATAAAAGCTTTCACTTTTGGAAAAAGCTCAGCAGCAAACATAAAAGCTGACATTTCGAAAGCACCTCAGATCGTATGTGGCCGCAATTAAGCAATCATTAAACTCATTGAGCACAAACTGAGTAAAGCTTTCATACAGAGTTTTACAAAAAATTTTGAGTATTATATCTGAAAATAGTTTATGAATATTTTTCAATAGTTTTAAGTTATAAAATCGATATACATATGTTAATATATATAAATGTTTGTACAAAATAAATACTGTTGTATATAAATTATTTTTAATAAAATTAGTTAATTTTGTTTTGCCAATTTACCTATGGACGTCATAATTTTGTTGCTAAAATTTGGACTAATTTTGCCAAATTTTGTAAATTTTAAAGATGTGTGTCGCAGTCACAGTGCTTTTTCAATTTAGTTGCATATTTTTGTAGTTTTGTTCCAAAATTTCCAATGCCAATTGGAGGTGTACAAAATTTTTTGTTGAATAGTGTTGTTTATTATACTTTCTTTTTTAATATATTGTTTGTAAATTTGTACTAAAAGTTTATCTAAAATTTGGTATACAAAAAATAACAAATTTTTTAATTAAATATTAAATAAAATTGTTTAATAATTCGAAAAAACTAATAAATTTTTCATATTTCACTTTTGCAAAATTAATTTTGTAGCTTTTCAAAGAAATAACTTTTTGCGTTTTTTATAAATTGCAAATTTTTAATTTAGAAAAATAAATTTTTGAAAATTTTCGAAAATTTTTTTTGTCAATTGTGGGTTGGTTTTTAATTGCAGCACTCAGCAAATTATTTGCAATCGAATTTTTTTAAAGAAAATTTATTTCACTTTTGTTTTTTATAAAAAAAAAATGTAAAAAATATATAAACAAATTTTTATAGTGTTGTTAGCCAATTTTTCAATTGTTGCTATTAAAAATTTTGTAATAAATTTTTTTTTGTGTTTTTAGAAAATATTTTCCAAACATGCGGTGCCAATTTTTGTTGGTGGTTTCGGTTTTGCGTAGTCAAAATTTGTTGCAAAATTTTGTAAAAAAAGAATAGGTTTTGTATCATATTTTTACCAATTAAAAAAAAAAGAAATAGCGTTGCCAATTGCTGTTAAGGTAAATTGTGCTATGACAAAATGAATATAATTAGTAAAATTCTGTAAAAAATATTTGTTGTTATACTAACGGCAAATCGGCATGCGCGACTTTTTGCGATAGTAACAATTGTAATTGTTGTAATGTATGTTATTATTGTTGTTGCATTTGCTGCACTTCGCTGCATTGCTATCGACAGCGCCACTGCCTGTTGCAGCTGTTGACGGCGTTGTTGGCATTTTATGCGCGAAGCCGCACGCTGACGCCGATGAGCTATGTGGAGGTGAGTCACATTCATCGCCGCCATTAAAAGACGTTTGCTCGGCCGTTGCATGCTGCTTATCCTGCTCGCGCTCGCGCTCTTCCCGACCGCTGCAGTTGAGCGCAGTTTCGTCAACGGCAGTGCAGCAGGGCGCGTTGTCATATGCGCTTGTGGCGGCTGTGTTGGCGCTTCCATACCCCTGCCCATTACCACTACTATTGCCATTGCTGCCACTACCGTTTCCGCTTCCGCTATTGCTGCCGCATCCCAGCGCGCTGTAGCTGCTGCAGCGCTTCAGCAGCGTCTTATTGAGCGGCGTTTTTATAATGGTCGCGGTGTGCAGGCGCTCGAAATCACCCTCGTCATTGTTGGACGCAGCGTGTTCGCGGGCGCTTTCATGCGCCGCCTCATCCGAGTCTTCCTCCTCTTGGCGTTGCTTGCGCGCGGCAGACATTTCCGCGTCACTTTCTCGCTTACTGCCGCTGCCCTTGCCATTTCCACTGCCGCTGCTGCTGTTGCTGTTGCTGCTATTGCTGTTGTGCCCATGCGCTGTTGCTGACTTTTCGCCATTTACGCGGTGATGTTGCGGCTGCTGTTGTTTTGTTTGTTCGCGCTGCTGCCAGCTGTTAAATGGCGTCTCCCTGCCATCTAAGCGCTCATCACTTTCCCTATATTGTCCATTCTGCTTCGGTTCATAACTTCCGCTTTTGCCATTATTGTTGTTGCCACCAGCAGCGCCACAATTGCTGCCTTCATCATTCACATCCGTTTTACTAGCCGCGACACTTTTCAAATGCTTCGCAATTTTTTCATGTTTCCCTCCCAAAACACTTAGATTCATGGATTCGTTTGCAACATCTGTGTTGCCGGTGTCATTAGCTGTGTTGCTGCTGCTGCTATTGTTGTTAGTGTTGCCAGTTGTGATCGCTGTTCTCGCTGCCACCTCCGACGCCAATTGGTTGGCATTCATTGGAGTTGGTTGTATTTTATTTCTGTTGCTAAACTTTATGTTTGTTTAAAGTGTTAAATCTGTTCCAGAAAAATGCTGCGCGGCTGCAGGAATGTTGCGTAACATGTTGCTAAGGGTTGTTTGACGTCTGTGGCGTCATTTTTAAGTGGGATAACATAGCAATGTGGAGAACATTTTGAAGGATTTGTGTCTAAGTCCGGTATATTAAAACTTTCCTTAGTTTTTAAATTTTTTAATTAATAATTTGAAAATTTTCGTATTTTCTAAATTTTATTTTTGTTTCGTTATTTTTACTGTTATTTCACTTCAAGCGATGACAAAATATTTTTAAGGCAGTTTTGGTCAGTCTCTGATTTTTATTTATTTAGTTATTCATTTCCTGCGTGTTGCGTTATGAGGTTAAGATTTTTTTTAATTATTGGAAATACCACTAACTATAAATAAACTTTTATAATGCAGTTATATGTGCAAAACACAAAAAAGTTTCACAGTATCGAAAATAATTTTAAAAAAATGTTTTAAATTTATTTCTTTCCGGTAGCTTTTTGCTCTAAATTTTTTATTCTAGAAGTAGTAACATTTTCAAACATTTTCAATATCTTTTTATCTAGAAGTGGTAAAATTTTCAAAATTTCTCAATGTATTAATATGCATAAAATGTATTGTATTAAAATATAATTTTTGTTTTCAAAATCTTTTGAATTTCAAAATTTTACTTATGTATAAATATCTTCTCTTTTGACTTTTTAAAATTAAAATTTAATTTTTTTAATGAAAATAACTAGCGCTCTGTAATTCTATTTTTGGAATATTTCGTACAATTTTTCGAAATGAGAATTCATTTTAGAAAAAAATTTAAAAATTGCCACAGTAATTTTTTTTTCTTTCAATGACTTGAAAGGTTTTACATTTTTAATAAAATAAATTTTTTATTAATAACTAAAGTTGATAAGTTAATTTTTAATTGTTAAGAAATCATAGTTTTAATAATGATACTTTTTTTATTACCAACAGTTTGGAAATTAATCAAATGAAGATTTTGAAAAACATATATATGTATACATAAACCTAGATTTTTAATTTATTTAATTATATCGAAATCTAAAAAAAAAAGTTATTTAAATTTTTGATTGTTTAAAATTTATAGGTTTGGATAATTTTTTTTTTAATTATTAAAATTTTGAAAATTAATCAGTTGAAGTTTTTGAAAACCAATTTATATAAATATATTTTCTACTTATTAAATTGTTTCTGTACTTAAAATGTAATAAAAAAAACTCTCGCACTTTTATGTTAAATTTTCAAATTTATTTTACCTCCAACACATTTTTGCACTCAAAATTCTCAGCACGTTTTAGAAAATACTTTTAATCAGTATATTGTTTTCAATTTCTCACAAAGTAGTTTGAAAAACGTACATTTATTATTTATTCAGACTTTAAAATTTTCAAAACTTTTGCCGGTAACGTCTAATGGTTCGAAAACTTTTGCAGTTGTTGACTTCAATTTATGCATTATTTGCCGTTAAGTCACTTTGATTTATACATTTTATCTAATTTTCTATCTCTGTTGCACTTTCGCTTTCCTTGCAATTCACATATACTCTTCCCTTCTCGTTCTCACACTCACTTGCTGAACTAACAGCTTTGATATGAAGCTTTCGCTCCTTTGAACACACACTCTTTTTCTCGCTCTCTGAGTGGAATGCGTTTATTATTTTGCTTTGTTGCGATGCTTTTATTTACCGTTAAGTTTTCGTTTTTTGTAATCCTCACGAATTATTCGTTTGAAAATGTTATTTTTTTTGGATTTTTTATATTTTTTATTTGAGGTTATGTGTAATAATAATCTATAATTTTTTTTTAAATTTTTTCTCTCTTGAATACTTTTTTTGCGAATAAATGCCTTCAATGCCAAGCAATATTTCACGTAAAGTTTTTATTGTTGCACTCTTTCCACTTTTAGCGCTTATTGTTTATGATTTATTACTATATATGCTTAATGTGAGAATTGCACTTATTTTCTGCCTACAAAATGCACTTTGCTATTAAAGTAATTTTTTTTTTCAAATTTTCAGTCTTTCACTTTACATATAAAGATCTTCTTAACTTTTAATTTTAACACGTATAAAAATGCAAAATCGTTTGAACGATTTGTCTCTTTCTTTTTTAAATGCCGTATGAGTGTACAATTTGAACCTCTCGAGTGCACTCAATTCACTTAAAAGACTTTCTTTCGGGTCATACACGAGTGCCGCTCAGTAAAGTACTTTAACGCGTGTAAAACTCGTGAAAACTCTGGAATATTCCGAAAGCTTCGTAACTATTTGCAGCATACTCTCAGCACAAAAGTTGGTTTGAGTGCCTTTTGGAGTGTTTTTGTTTTTTTCATGCAGAAAATGCTTGTAAAATGCAGTCTTTTTACTTCCCTCGGTTATATTTTGTAAACTTTTTACTACAATTGGGACGTAGGACGGATTCAAACGGGCTTGGGGTTTCACTATATACTTTTCATATTTTATTTTTGTTGTTGTTTTATCATAAATTTATTGTTATTCCGTCGACATTTTCACTTCGAAAAATTTTTGTATCGGAAAAACTATTTAAGTTTTTTTTTCTTTGTCGCACTGATGAAAAATATTTTCTTCGAAGAAATTTTCTTTTAGTTAAGTATTTTTGTAAAATGTTGACAGCAGCAATATTATGAAATTTTATTCAATTCTGTGATGATTTAGAATTAAAAAAAATTAACTTTTGATGCATAATTTGTTTAATAAACTGTTCTTTGTTGGAAGTTTGAAGCGCTGTGGTATATCAAAATGATTTAATGAAAAAATGAATGAATTTATAAAATATAATAACATTAAAATATGGTGCAAAAATTTTGAAATGAAAGATTAAATACAATGTTTAATTTTTCAAATTAATATTTTTTGAAATAAATTTTTTTAATTAATTTCCTTTTAAAATTCATTTTTTAAAATAGGTAATAAAATATAAAAAAAATATTTTCTTTTAGAAACAATATTAACAATTTTTTTTTTTTTAAATAAATACATGAAATATTTTTTGTTAAAAATTGGTAATAAATATGAAAAAATATTTTCTATTAGAAACGAAATTTTTTTTATAAAATAAACTTAATTTTGTTTTATAAAATTAAATAAAATTATAATTTCTAAGTAAAATATTTTCAAATAATATTAATGCTTTAAGAATAACTAATATTTATATAATAATCATTACTGCCCTCGCCAGAGTTCAATGATTCATGAGAATATGACGTGACGGAAAAACAAAACAAAACAAAAATGAAGAACAAAAAAACCAATGGTGCAACTTCAAAATTCCAAACATATGAACAATTTGTATTTGTGCTGCAAAGTATTTGTATGTCGTTGTGTATATTTGATTTTAGAGCAATTGCTATTGCAGCAACGCAGCGCCGCAACATAAAAAGCGCCACAACAACAAAATAACTGATGCAACACAAGTGTTGTTGGCGAGAAAAAAAAACAAAACTAAATGAAACAACAACAAAATTTGTTGATTGTTGTTTATCGTTGACCACATAGAATATTGTAGAAGCGCATATATGCTTTTAAACACACACACACGTGCAAATAATTCTAACACTTTTATGGACAATTCGTTGCGCTGAAATGAGCTAGCAATACAAATATCAATAATTCCCTGCAATTTTTAAACGTAATTGCATCAGCTTGTAAAATTAAACTTTTTGATAAATTATTTTTTTAAGAAAATAAATTTTTTCTTTTTATAATTTTTTGAATATTTATAGTTAAATGTTTATTTGTTTTAATTTTCACTTTATAGGTCAATCATTTCGCATTAATTCATTATTAACACTTTTGTGTGCACAATTTTTAATTTTTTTTTTTAAATTTTTATTAATTGTTGTTATATATTTTTTTCATTGTTTTAATGTGTTTTAATCTTATTAATAATATCCACTGCGCAAAATCCTTAACAACCGTTACTTTAGGCGCTGCTATGGCACCTGGCACTAACAACCACATTGTAACTGCAATGCAAAATTATTAAAATTTATCGCTTTTATTTCTTCGCTTCAATAAATATGTTTAGCTCGTTTAAGCAGTTTTATATATTTTAATACACAGAAAAAAAATTGAATATTTTTTTTTAGTGTTTTTATTTTTTTAGGTTTTATATTATTTTATTTAACATTTTAAGAGTTATTTATTTTTCTTTCAAACTTTTTTGATTGTTTAGTTGCAAATAACTGTATTAACTGTACATTTTTTAAAATAATTTTTTTTTTTTATTATTTTGATTTTATTTAAATTTAAGCTTTATTTTGTTTTATTTAACATTTTAAGAATAATTTAGTTTTCTTTCAAACTTTTTTGATTGTTTAGTTGCAAATTTTTTAACGACATTTTTTAAAATATTTTTTATTTTTATTTTAATTTTATATTTATTATTTTGATTTTATTTAAATTTATAAGCGTAAATAAAATATGTTGAATTTTGAATAATGTTTTTTTATATTTTTTTAACATTAAGTCTGATTTATTTCACACAAATATTTAATTTAATTTTCTTTTATTGTGACACTATAAATAATTATAAAGTATATGTTTAACTAAGAATTTATTGTTAATTTTTTATAACAACTTGATTTTTAATAATTTTTTAGAATTTTTAAATCCCTTTTTTAATATGTTCTTTTATTTATTTGTTTTGATTAATTTTTTAATTTAAATTTTTACTTTTTTTTAGGTATTTATATAATTTTTTTATTAAATGGTAGAATTATTATTGTTTTTTTATTTATTTATATTGTTTTTTTTATGTATTTTTATATGATTTTTAATTATATATTATTTTATATTTGTTTACTTTTTTTAATAATTTTTTTTTTATTAGTTTTTATTATTATATAATATTTAAGTTCTTTGGATTTTTGTTTTTCCTTAGTTATTCTTTTCTTCTTTATTGTATTTTTTACTACAACCATCTTGTCCTTTCAAATTTTCTTTAAACACAACAATTTTTTATAACTAAAATATGTTCTTCGAATTTGTTTTTGGCAAGCGAATAAATTTGTCAATTCATCACATAAATGACAGCTTCCATACTTCCGTTATGCGACAACTTAGCACATGAAGGCAAACAATTTGTATGAGTACGGATTTCCGGTTGACAAGTTTTCGATTAATTTGTTATAGCTGTAGTATTTCATATTATAAAACCTTGTTTAATTCCTTTTACTTTCGATTTCTGTATATAACTATTTATATATTCTCGAATTTGATTGTTATAATTATTATCGTTATTATTTCTAAATTTAATGGATTTAGGAAAATTGATCAGAATAATAATTAAATTAGGAAATATAAAAAAATGTTTTTCTTTCAATTTCACATTAACAAATATTTTTAAGAATATTGTAGGCAAAAATTTATAATTTTTCCAAAAAATATTCGTCAAATCTTTTTCTTTCTTTTTTAGTTTTCCTTTACATTGATTTATGTTACTGAATTTAACGCATTAAAAAATATTTTTTTTTTTTAATTTTTATTTTATTTTTACATATATCTATTTTTCAAATTTTAAATATTCCTCTTTTTTAATTTCGTTTTTTTTTTATTTAACAATATTTCATTATACTTAAGTCATTTACTATTTTATAGTATTCACTGGTTTTTATTTTATCATTTACTTTTAATTTATATTATAAATCGCAAAATTATTATTTTATTATCTAAATTTTTTATTTTCAAACTTAGACTTCAAAAAATGAAATTAGACTATATTAATGAAATATTTCATTAATGAAAAAAAAACCAGAAATGTTACTAATGCATTTTATTTAGTATTGTTTAATTTAGCTTAATTTTATATTAGTATAAAACTTTTTCTGATTATTTTTAATTTTTCAAAACTATTTTTAACCTTTTACATTTTTTCTTCTTATTTCTAATTTTTAAAACTTATTTCTAATTTTTTTAAAATAATTTAAATTGTTATTAAATTTTTTTATTTTTATTTTGATATTATTTAAAATTATTTTAGCTTTTTAAAAATTTTAAAATTAGTTTCAAAAACTTTCAAATTATTTTTAACTTATTTTATAATTTTTTTTTTTAAATAATTTTTTACGATTTTTTAAATAATTTTGTTAAACCGATTCCTAATATCGTTTTTGCATTTTATTATACTGCACTTTAAAATTTTTTAATCTAGCATTTTAATTTTTTATCACAATTCACCACTGCTGACTTCACTATAATCCACCGCAATTCCAAAATTCTCCGCTACGCTAATAATCCGCATAAATATTTTGCATTGCAACACTTATTAATCAATTATTCTTGCATTCCATCAGCGCAACACAATAAAAACCACCAACAAAATAACACCACACTGCAAAAAAATAAACCAACAACAACACACCGTATCATTCTTTGACTTTTACTTTTCAAGTTCTCGAGTTCTTTGGCGCTGCCACCTGACGACGTTTGTTCTTGACTCGTCACTGTTGGCTAATAGCTGGCTGCGCTTACGCTAATTGCGCTAACGTTTAACAGATTTAACGGTATTTCAACGTGGCTATGACGAACAACAATTACCGCGACGCGCAACGGTAAAGAGTTGGCGGCAAAATGAAACCGATTGCTTGCCGCTACGAAGAAAACTTGTCTGCGTGCACGACGTCACTACTGCTGCGACTGGCCACATAGAGCCAGAGTCGAGCTGAAGAGTTGGAAATCAGCGCACACAATCATGCAAACATGTATGTATGTTTTTAAAATTCGAGTTCGTAGAGCGGCGGCTAGCATTGAAACAGCAGTCAACGGTACTTTCATCCAGCTTTTACAGCGCGGAGAAAAACTTTTACCGCCAACAACACGCACAGCCGAAAGAGAGGGGCGCGCGACGTAAGTGAGAGCGCCCGGCGCAACGCTACAATACGATTCTAATGTTGCGCGCGCGGTCGCAAGGGGATAGCGCGTACAAGAAATGATCGACTGGCCGACCGACCAACCGTTAGACGACTGTCCGCGCTTCGTTTGTTTGTTTATTTAGCCTAACTGACTGACTAACTGGCTGGTTGGTTGGTTGGCTACTCCGCGCCCAACGTGCGTACATACGAACGGAATAAAGTGAAATGAAAGGAGTAGATGGAAGAAAGCGGCCAACAAGCGCCAAAAACTCTAACGAATGCTGCCGCCAACGACCGCTGCCACAGTTGCTGCTGCTGCGCTGAGCGATGACGACAACAAATAGCTGAGCTAGCGCTAGCACACCATGCAAACTATATGTGTATGTTTGACACCACTATACATAATAATCATTCATAGGCGGCAACAACAAAGCCAACAACCAGAAACGAAAGAAGCATGAAAGCTCACCAATACTGAAGCACAGTGGGGCACACCGATGCGAGCGAATGAACGGCAAAAGATAAAAAGCACATACAAATACAAAAACAAAGCATATGTGAGCGCATAAACTAACGAGCAAACTAACAACAACAACAAGCGCTGTGCCGAGCGCTATTAACAACAAACAATTGCAGTAGCCGACATACTCGGCCGACCAGTCAGCATACGAGCGCGCGCGCGCTTACACACGAACCCGTCTAGCATTCGTGTATTACCGCTATATGACTTCGTGTGCTTTTAACTGTATGTGTCACCTATTACAGCTATGGCTGCAGCGCGCGCTTGCT